TAAGCTGAATTCAGCTTCCCACTTAACATTCTAAAGCAATCCAGGTATGATTTTACCAGAACCCACTTTGATATGGTTGTATCTGATACCTGCATCCAGAAGTAACGTATCAACAAGTCTGCAGATCTGCATGTGTAAAGCAGGGTGTTCATTTAAATTGTGCCCTTTAAACTTCCCGGCTGTAGCCTTCAAGACCTCCATATATTTCATCACAAGCTGTCCTGACTTAAGACCCTTCCCTGCAGAGCTATTTCCCGAGAGTACTCACCCAGCCATGGCTGGGAGGTGCAGGATGCACAGCAAAGTAGGCTGTCTCTCAGGCTACAGACGTGACATCCCTGCTCCCCCTCACCAAAGCCCTCCTAAGACCCCATGAGGAAATTAAGGTGGAACAGCAGTGGATCAAGACCACCGCCAGAAGCACACAACCCCCCCGGCTGTCCTGTCCCTGTTCTCAGTAACCTCCACTTCCTGCCCAAGGTGGCTTGATTTCCTGTAGCTCTTTCCACAAAATAAAGAAGAAACATTTTCTGTTTGTATCTGATGTTCTAATAAGCCCCGAGCTGTTTGTCACAATTTGCTGCTGATCTGCTCCCTTCCAGGTGGCAGAGAGGCGTCACGGGGGACAGCCCACCACGAGCACCGACGGGTGGAACAAGCCTGTCACCCCAAAGGTGTCTGGAATGGGGGGGAGCTCTTCAACCCCTCCTGCACATCCTCTGCTCCTCTCTGGCTGCTGGAGGAGGCTTTCCCTGTGTGAGAGTATCACCCTGAGTGCACATACAGCGCACAGAGAAAGGACAATTCTGGCTTGGGGCTGGGCTGGGACCTGGTGTTGAGCCACAGGATAAGAAAGTGGGAAAGGCTCTCCGGAGCGTCCCTGTCCAGTCTCCTGTGCCAGGCAGGGCTAACAAGTAGAGCAGGGTGCTGTCACGTGTCAGCCCACCCTGTAGTTCCCAGCCACTGAGTTCCTGGCCCATGAGGAGGCAGAACCTTTTCTTAAGAGTGTCTTCCTGAGCTCAGGGCACTCCAAGGGAGGCTGAAAGCTTTGGAGAGAACACGCAGTCTTGCAAAGGCCTCACCCTGTAGCCACAAGCCGTGACCTCTGTGTCCCAACCACAGGAAAGCCTCATTTCTGGGATTAAGATAAACCCATGGCAAGCCTGCCAGCCAGCCAGACACTGGTACCATCCCTCCTCAGGCTCCCAGGCACTCACAAACCTCCCAAGGCTAAAGCCAGCAATTTCAGGGAAGGAGCACTTGTCACAGTTTAGATCAGCAGCGCTTCCTGCCCCGCCACCACCAAGCATCAAGGAAACCTCTGAGCGTCACCTCCCCCAGGGCTGGCAGGGCAGCACAGGTGGTCAACACGGCCCTGCAGGAGACACAGGACCTCTCCAGAGCCAGGGATACACAGGCCTGCAGCACCATGGAGAGAACCCAGTCCATGGGTGCCAGAAGCACCGCTGGATACCCTCAGCACCACCCCAAGCATTCACCTGGTCACAGGGAACAGGCACTGCCGCGGGAGCACCTTTCTCAGCAGTGAGGAGGAAGGAGCTTTCAAAAGGTCCTCAGCTCAGCACAGGCCATGGTAGTGCCAGAGCTCTTGGGCCAGCGAAGACTCCACCACCCTTGGTGGAAGGACAGACCTGGTCTACCCCCAAGCCCTCACCACCACAGCTGTGACTCACCCGTCCCAGTGGAAGAGTCATCTGCAGAATGCAAATGTTTGTGATTCACCTGTGGGCCTCGTTGTCTCCAGGCTGTTTTGGAACACTGCTGTCTCACAGTGCCACACTGCCCGGGCAGGTGGGGGTGCTGATGTCACAAACCACAGGTTCTCCTGGCAGCACCGTGTGGTAGAGCCCAGGAACACAGGCAGGACACCAGCTTACCTGAGTGTTAGTGGTGCATGTGCCAGGGAGCTCAATCCTGGAGCTGCCCTACCTACAGCCAGGACTTGTTGTGCAGCTTTTCCACCAGAGAACATGTTGATGGACCTGTGGCTTCACTGAGCATGGAGACCCCTGCCACTGGCCATCCAAATGCTAGTCCTCTCCAAAGTCCCTGGCTCCACCCCATTGTTTCAGCTTCCTCCTTTACTGCAGGGTTAAAGTGTGTGGCCACACCTTTGCTCTGCTTCCCTTCAGTTGAAAATTACCCACACCATCACAAACTGCACACTGAGAGTCAGTTCAGACCAGTGTCCCTGAAATACCAGGCTCTGAGACAAAGGACACCATATCTGTGAATCTAATGACGTTGTGAAGGGAAAGGATGCACTCTTTGCTCATCCAAGCAGAGTTTGAAGGGCTCTAATATAGTTCCACCCTTCTGTCAGCCCTCATACCCAGCTCCCAGCCTCAAGCAAGGCATTCAGGGCATTCCCTCCCCAGCACTTACTGTGGCACCTCTGTGTCCTAACCTCCTTCCCAAACACATTTCCTGGCTGCTCACAAAGTCACTTCTCTGCCAGATGCAAAAATCTTGCAGGAACAGCCAGACTTTGTGGGGAGGGCAGGGAATGAGTCCTAAGGGGATCATGGAGTGAGCCTGTGGCAGAAGGGCAAGCCTTGAGGGTGACAGAGATTTCTCTGGGGCAGCGAGAGCGTGTTGGTAGCCGGAGGCAAGGTCAGGCTGTGAGTACCAAGCACTGCCCGTTTTACTTCTGTTTTATTCTCCCTCCTTGCTCTGAGTTGTCTCTCACTAAAAAGAGGCATTTCTTAGTTTCTGTTCAGGCTTTCCTTTCCAGCCACTAGCCTGTCAATTTAATTTTTAAGAGACTTCAGACCACCATCCTGTCCCCAGCACACACGCAAGGACTTGGGTCAGTGAATCTCCAGCAGCTCAGGTAGCTCCAGCCACTCCCACAAAACAAACACGTTTCCCATGGGAGTCCTCCAGCCCTTCAGGTTTTAAGCTCGATATTAGGGAATTAGCCAACACTGGAAATAAAAGCATTACATCAATTGCAATACAATTACATTCGGTTTCCTGACAAACGTAAACACAACACACTTCAAGGGTGCTTGCTACCTAAAGTGCGGACAGTTTTACCTGCTCCCTGGCTGGCTGGAGGTTGCAATACGCGTGGGCTTGCTCCATTTAAGGGGTAAAAATACCTGCCTACAGGCACAGATAGTACTTGTTCATTATTAATGACCGCCACTTCCCACACATTTCTAACGCCTCAGTCACACGTCGTTCGCTGTGCCTGCCGTGTCTCTTCCCCTTCACAGTCGTTTCCAGACCCTCCTGTTGTGCCCCACTTTAACACCTTCCTTCTCTCTAACACCTTCCCGGAGCGGTGCCACTGCTTCCCAAGCATTCCCGGAGCGGGGTGGCAGCCGGCTGTGCCCAGGGTGTCTGTGAGGAGAGCCCGAGGCTGCCCCACATCAGGCACAGCCCGACCCCCTCAGTCACTGACCTGGCGCCGGCCCCTCGCCCGGGCTGGCGGTGCCTCTGGGGAAACACCTTTAAGAAAGGGAAAAACGTTTCCCAGCAGCGAGGAGTGAGAGGAAAAGGTGTGAGAAACATCCCAAGGATGGAGGAGGAGGAAGGGGAAGACGCTCCAGGGATCCCTGCAGCTTCAGGAGACCACACTAGACTGACAGCCCCAGGGGAAAGCGTGAGGAGGGAGGGGTGGCAAGGAGGAGCTGTTTTATCGACTGGCTGCAGCCCCCATTCCCAATCCCCCTGCACTGCCTAGGAGTGACAAGGGGACAGCTAGAGGAGCTGGAAGTGAAGGACCAAAGGGAAAAAAACGGGGTGGAGGTGTGTGGAGGGTGTTGCTTTGTCTTTGTTTCTCACCAACCCAATCTCTTTCACTGGCTAATAATTAGTTTCCTTAAAGTGAGTCTCTTTTGAGTTGAGGGTAATTGGTAATTCATCTACCTATATTTGCCCATGTACTACCATGAGCCTTTCCCTCTTTTTTTCTCCTCTCTGTGTTGTTGAGGAGGGGGAGTGAGAGTGGCCGGGAGGGGAGCTGGGGGGTCAGCCCACCCCAAGTACCCAGCAGTATTTAAATTTCAAGCCCTGAGAGGTGTGTACCCATCCAGCATGTATCACTTCTCCAGCCTATTCCAGGTGAGAGCCTGAGTACATCACACACGGCTCAGCCCTGCTTGCCCCAGAGTTGCACGTAAGACACTGGCCCTGTTCAGCACACAGGGATGCTGAAAGGGGGGGAAAAACCATTTCTGCCTGCATGTCTGGCAAAAATTTATTTACAGCCCTGGCAGGGACTTTGGAGACCACGCAGCAGCATGGAAAAGGAGGAGTTCCTGACAGACATACTGCCCAGCTGAGCCAGCAGCTCCGTGCAAGGCTGAGGGTTTCCTGGGAGTCAGCATGGCTTGCTGCCTTTTACATCAGCAAGAGAGCAGAGTACTTCAGGTTCACATTTTTGTGTTCAATGTGCTCATCAAGACCACAGGAAATAGCACAACACTTTTAAAAAGTAGGTCTAGGCAAGGAGGGGAGGGGTAGCATTTTCTTTCCTTTTTTTTTTTTTTTTTTTTTTTTTTTTTTTTTTTTTTTTTTTATGGAGGAAATCAGAAGTAAAGAATGAAATGAGTAAAAAGCAGTTAAAGAAAGACTGAATTTCCAAACCAGTTGTGTGATGCATTCTGTTAAATGGTTCTGCAGGAGGGTTTTCACACCCTAAAGGCAAAAGCAAAGCGTTCAACAGTGGTAACAGACTTGTATAAGGGTACAAACCACTAGAAAACAGTTGCGAGAAAACAAAGGAGAGCAATTTGGTCACAACAAAAGGTCAAACTTTCAAAGAAGGCTGTACAAAGAAACAACACTTGCTGTCTAATTGAAGTTCCTGGAGAGTCAATCGTTTAAGACAATGAACACGAATTTCTTTTCTCTAAGCCATCTCCTTCTCTCATATAACATTATTTTCTCTCTCCAGAGAGCTCGGCGTGCTGATTGGACCGGATGGGCTGGTAGAGGGGAGAGGCTCATCACTGTCACCATTTCCTTACCCACTTTTGATGCTGGTTATAACCCCATCACGAGCACCGCGTGAAATCCACAAGCTTTTCTAGGTAGGGTTTCCAGGCAATGAGCTGAAACACAGAGAAACGAAAGTGCTGCTTAACCAAGTGCCAATCCGAGGCTTTTTTTTTTTCCAAATAATTCAGTGGGGCTTGTATGGCTGCTGGTATGCTCTGCATTCAGCTCCAACGCTCCCAAACAGCAATCTGGAGCGTGGCAGCCTAGAAGCTGTCTGCTACCATATTCCCATGTTCTTTTACTTCATCCCCTCAGTGTAGCCTCCAGTCTCCTTCAAGCAGCAGGGATGGATTTCTGCTCATTTCATGTGAAGACAAAGGATGGCAGTGGGGAGAACAATTCTGGCTGAAGTGCTGGTCAGTGCTTTCAGGGTAGGGTCCCACAGGAGACAGGAATCAGTCCTTGGAAGCAGAAGTTCCCAATACCCATTGCCACCTACAGCCTCTGCAAAGAGCCTGGTGCCAGCAGGACCTGTGCAGTTGGTGCTCTGCTCCTTCCCAGGGGTCCTGTGCACAGCACTGGTACTTCTCTTGTAGCACTGCAATCCTACCAGCTCTGAAACATGTCTAATCTGAGACTTGGAGGGCTTTGGGTACAGTGACTATGAGGATGCATAGACTGGCAGGTGGATTACACCATGTCTTGCCACTAAACATCCCCCTATGCAGAATAAAAGGCACATGGTGACAAAATAAACACTTCAAGGCAGGGAGACAGTACCTAAGGATAGTTCAAACTCAAATAAGAAACTACCATCCCCTTCTATCCATCAGCAGCCTTACCTGAGCCACATCCTCCAGCCCACAGGTTGCAAGTGAGGAGTTTTGAGCAAAACGTTTTCTGGACTTCCATGGTTTGGATTTCTCTTTCAGGCCTTTAATGAAAGCTAAATCTTGGATACCTGTTCTCCATGCAGAAACCTTATTAGGAGACACAAATGTTCCTCTCTGATGCCTTTTTGTCCGAAATCTTTTGCCTCTGTGTTGGCATAAACTGCACTTTAGTGAGGAGAGAGAGAAAAACATCAGGAGAAATGCCTGTCCCCAGTACAGGGCTCAGGAGTCCAGTTTTGATAGTTATTCAGATGGCTCAAAAGGCCAGCTACTCCCCTGCCAGTGCAGGAGTCCAAGCTGAAGGTCCCAGGGAATTAGCTGACCAGCTGTCTTTCACTTCCCAAGAATGACCTGACAAAGGGGAACTGAAGGAGTCACCCAATAACAAAAGAAAAACGGACAGGAGACTTTTTCAATTATTGTTAAAGGAAACTGGTTATGAAGCATGGGGGAAAGAGAGAGAGATGTGAAATCTCCATGACGGTTTGTGAGGGGGGAGAGAAGCTGATTCTCTAGAGAGAGAGCTGAGTGATACAGAGCGTGCTGAGGAATGGGGAAGCAACTGAGACAGAGGAAAGTACACTGGCTTTGTTATTTCACCTAGAGCTTTTAGTCTCTTTGCTACCCAGAGGAGCAAGCAGCTGATTTTCAAAAAAAGTGAGTCTTCACAACAGAAAGCCTGTGTGCCTGTTCATGTGCCTGCTGATGTCTTGGCAGGGGTAACCAGTGCCCACCAGGATGATCCTAAAGCAGCATTGCTGGTCTCACCACAGGCAGGGGGTGGGGAACTCAGCGTGTCTTCACAGCTCTGCCTGGCAGAGACACCACTGCAGTCACTGCCAGCCAACTCCTGCACCCCTGCCTAAAGTCCCACATCTCCTCTAACAGGTTATGTGGAACATTTGACTCTCTGCATTACACCAAGAGATGAATCAGCAACAAGTTTTCAAGCTTTTCTTCTTCTCTTTTTTTTTTTTTTTTAATAATTAAAATCAATAAGAAATTCATATGCAACTTGCCTCACCTTGCAGTGAAATTTCTTCTCTCTTTACTCATCTCATTCTCTCTTTTGCGCTGAACCTCAGTCATGCCTAAAATTTGCAATCAGGCTGTAATATAGCCATGCAAGACCACTACAAGAATAATAATGATATCTAAGTCTACATCTCTTCCTTTTTCTCCTCTCTCTAACCACTAGACAATGCTCCTTCCCAACCTGGTAAAAATTTGCCAGGGTCTGTACAGCTCCTTGGGCTGGAAGAAGTGACCCCACAAGACACTGTAACAGAAACTTAGAGAGCCCAAGGCTGGCTTCAGGTAAATGAAGGAAGGAAAAAAAGGAAAACAATAATCAACCTCCAAAAAAACCACCAATAAAATTTGTCAGATCAAAGAGAAGGTTACTGCCTGAACTCACAGGATTTGAGTGTCTTCAGATATATCAATTCTTCCATTCTTACTCATATTCTTCTCCCTGGGAGGGCTACAGAAATAGTTTTATATAACACCTGTCACCAGTGACAGTTCCAGCTAACCATCCAAGCTCCGAGGTTTCCGAGACAACACACGTATCCGAGAAAGCCTGACAAGAGTCAGTCCCTCTTGTGGCTCCATTTCTTGTCTCTGACCCCCTCAGGCACCCACAGGGGATCAGCTGGAGATCAGCCACTGTTCCTTTTGCTTTACCAGTCACCCTCCTCCCCACCAAGAGTAACCACGGGCTGGTGAAGAGCCAGGATACACGGATGAGGGCTGCTGCTCATAGCTCTCCAGGGAATATTTCTCCTCTCTGACCAGGTTTTGTTTGGTTCCACTGCACTTGCACTGTAGGAGCAGCAACGACCCAACCCACACAGTCCTTTCCATAATGCAACCCTGTCTGCCACCTTGTTTGCTGCACACACTGAGCCTACTCAAGGTTTTCAAGACACTGGCATCCTGCTCTCGCTTTTCCTCCACCAAGGCAGGCAGCATCAACCCTGATAGGCATCAACCACCAAAGAAGAAATATCTTTATCGAGCACCTCGCTGTGCTTGGCTGCAGAGCAGCACAAATGGTTGCTGTGCAGAGCCCTGAGTTGGCCAGCTGCACATCCAAATGCACAGCCATCACCTGGGAAGGGTTCAGCTGCCCAGGAGAGCTGCCTGTGGACACCTTCCACTATCCCAGGTTGCTCCAAGCCCCGTCCAATCTGGCCTTGAACACTTCCAGGGGTGGGGCAGCCACAGCTTCTTTGGGTAACCTGTGCCCGGGCCTCACCACCCTCACAGTAAAGAATTTCTTCCTAACATCCAATCTAACCCTGCCCCCTGTCAGTTTAAAGCAATTCCCTCTTGTCCTTTCACCCCATGCCCTTGTCACAAGTCCCTCTTCATCTCTCTGGGAGCCCCTTTAGGCACTGGAACGGGCTCTAAGATCCCCCTGGAGCCTTCTGTTCTCCAGGCTGAATAACCCCAATTCTCTCAGCTTGACAGAGCCTAATGTCAGCATTAAATATTCACTAAGTATTTAATGGTAACAATAGGCACTCATTTCACTAAATGAACAGCTCATTAGCTAGATAAACAGATGACTTTAATAGAGCCCTTGTGGCACAAGCAGCCTATGAACTGACTCAGAGCTGTTTGAAATTTCATAATCCCGTCACGATCTTACTTGGAATCTTTAGTCAGAGCCCACAAGCTAAGTAGCGGATTTGCTGTGAGCAGTTTAGAGGGATATTTGAGGATGGGATCACAAAGCAGAAACACATGTCTTATTGGCATCTGAGCATCTGTGCTGCTGACTGTACAGTCACAGCTGCTCTCTGATTCTGGAGCAAGCCTAGCAGCACCCAGCTTTATCCTGCAAGGATAAGCCAGCTCTGTCCACCTCAGGAGACCCCAGCACTATTTACACATAACAAGGCCATCCACCCCACTGTGCCACTGTCTCTGAAACGTGCAGGTCTCTGTTGCCTTTGGCATTTCAGATAAAAAGACAAACAGAAGCCTGTCCCCTCATGACGTGCAGCAATAGCAGCTGCTGCATCCTGCCCCAGAGACAGCTACAGGCAGAGCCTGGATGAATTACCAGGTGCTGACTCAGAGAAGCCTTTAGGAGCTTTCCAACCCTTCCAACACCACACTAGCAGGGAGCATAACCTCAGAGGGAGTTCCTCTGGGCACAGAATGCCCTGCCTCTCTCTCCAAGCTGTTCACCAGTAAAGAAGGGAAGCATGTGATGTGCTCAGCTAGTTTTGCTACAGGAACAGCTGAAAAGCTTGCAGGCACATGTACATACAGATTCCCACTCCCCATTTGGATGTCTCAGCACTAGGAGAGCAACACAGCGCAAAAAGAGGATGGCAACTTCCAGCCTTTCCTGGCAGGGTCTGGATCCAGCATCGCCATCTCTGTGCTATGTGGTTTGCCCCTCTGATACTAGCAGGGGTGGGGTAGTAAGGAAGAATCAGTCAAGCCAAAAGGTCCCTAAACTTCATCTGTTTGATGTATGTTCCATCCTGAGAAATGCAGTGGAACCATCTGAGTGCGAGTGCAGCAGTGGGTGTGTGAGCAGAGGCGCAGTGTTCCCTTCACACTGGACAAACCAGCAGCCAGACCACTGACAAATTTCCAAGAAATAGGCTTACCTGAAGCAAGAAACAGCAAACCACAGGCCACACGCCATCAAGCTGAGAGCACAGGGGAGAGGAAAATAAATGCAGCAGACTGCTGAAGAGCAGACCAACATCAGAGCTGCAAGAAGGCAGGAACTGCAGGCAGAAGTGGTGATGCAACACAGCTGCAGCCTTTGGGTCCTGCCTGGTGGTAGCGTGACAGACAACTCTGGGGATACAACTGCACTGACCAGAGTGAGCAAACAGGGTTTTGTTTACACCACTTCCTTTCCTTGTCCTTCAGACTGCCCTGTGACAAGTCATGCAGAGGACCACGGTGTCTTTGGGGACAGCAGTGCTTCTGCTCAGCAAAAAGTGTCTGGCTCCACTCAAGCTCGAGCCTGTGTTTTGAGATCAGGCCCTTCCTGATGGTCAAAGGGGGCTTGGGCTGCCTGGTCCGTGCTGCCCATATCACACCTCCCCAGACCTCAAATCCTGATCTTTGCATGCTGGAGTCCCAAAGATCCATGGAAGGGATCCTGTGCAGAGCCAAGCAGGCAGTGAAGTGGGATGAGGCTCCCAGATTTCTGCCATGCTGCTGGAGGAGGAACAAGGTGCTGGACCCTGATCACAGAAGCCTTCAGTGTTTTGGCCATTGCAGAAGCCTGTTGCACCAAATGAGGAGAGGATAGTGTCACTTACTAGAAAAATATGTCTTTATTTACCATCGGGGTTTTGCTCAGGATAGAACATCTCATGACAAGGGGCTCAACTGAAGCCATGCCATGGATAGATGCCAACATGTCACCATATGCATCATGAAGGGGGTGGCAGATCCACAGGGGATCCTCACATCTGGAAAGAGCAGGAGGTGGGGTGGAAATGGTGCTTTCACCTTAAGCCCCACTACCCTGCTGTTCAGATCCTGTCAGCAGAGCACGTGGCCTCCCCACCTGATCCACCCCCACAGCGTGGTCATGGTTCCACTCCAGGGTCAGGACCCCCCTCATGCCACCACTGCTTCTGGCATGTTCCGTGCAAGGTACTTGGGAGGAGTTAAATAAAGGGCTTGAGGAGCATTTTCTGGGATGGGAACAGTTCGATAACTAAACACAAGATGAACACACCAGCTGTAACAGCCTGGCTTGCAGGCAGGTGCCCGTTGGACAGCAGGCACAGAGCCCAGTGCCCAGGCAGGGTGGGCAGCCATGGCCCAGGGTGAGCAGTTGTTGGCACTACTCATTTCCACACCACTCCCTGCAGTGTGGCACAACCCAGGCACTTGCAGTCCGGGCTCAAGGGACCTCCATAATGCCCACCAGCTGTCCCTGCTGGCCCCAGCTCACCAGGGCCATGACACCATGTGGGGCTGCAGGCCCCAGCATCTTCTCAGGTAGCAAGTAGTGAGTTTCATTAGGGTCTGCAGCACACCACGTTTTGAGTTTGCTGGGGGTTTCTTTGTAAGGAGAATATGTGCAATTCTCTTCAGGTTGACACAGTACAGCTCTGGTGCTTCCCAGGTGTCCCCTTTTAAGCCTTTACCAGTGGCTTGAACCCTCTCACGCTGAAGGCCAACACATGGTTTCTTGGTGAGTTCCGTGGTGTGTGACCCCAGTTTGGCCACTGCACTCAGGCAGCCCTCACATCCTAGAGTGCGTGTGTGTGTGTGTGTGAGGGGGGCTGCTGGCCACACTCCACTTCAAAGCTTAAACAAGCCAAAGAAAGTCTTGGATTCCTCAAAATTAACCAGAGCGATTTTGGAGACGTTGACGTGCACGCTGTCCATCTTCCTGAGACTGAACAGAGCTCCCAGGTTGCTTTTCCGGGCCCATGTCCTCTGACCCGTGCAGTAGTTGATGCCTTTGTCCTCCATCAGCACGTGGCTGCCCGGGGAGGTCGGGTTTCTCTTGTAGACAATGTGTGTGAGCACCTGGCCGTCGCAGACACTGCCCCGGAACAGCACGTTGGAGTACACGAAGTACAGCCCTGTCTCGTTGATGACGAGCCCCCGGTCACGGTACTGAATGTCACTGGTGTAGGCATGGCCAGAGATGGGCTCCCACTCCAGAGGGAGGCCCTGCTGAGATGGGCTCCCTGGAAGGTGAAACAAGAAGAAAAAAAAAAAAAAGGTGGTAAAGTACGACAGTTGTGTGGGTTTTTTTCCTCAGTCGCACCCCACGTCACAAGTCAAGCATTCTCCAAGACCTTGACTGCAGCATGGAAAGTTCACCCTGGCACCTCACCAACACCAGCCCCTTGTGACAGCTTCTGCCCCACACACCCCAGAGGCAAGCCAAAAACAGGCCTTGCTGAGACAACTGAATGAGGAGGAGATTTTATCTGTGGAGCAACTTTCCACTGTCAGGGCACAGCTGTTTTCCAAGGAAAGTAGGAAGGCCTGTGTGAGGTGGGCTCCTCACAACTACAGCCATGACATCCTCTCACCCCAATCACATCTGCCCTATCTCCTGCTCCCGAATCCTGCTGGTCCCTCAGCACATACCTGTTAAGTGTGCTGCCTTTCTTTCTTCTTTTTTCATTGACTCCTTCTGCCCTGCACAAAAATAGGGATGACGTTAGCCATGTGGCCAGGGAGCAGGAGAGAGCAGGAGGGAGCCAGCCACAAAGCTGACACTTGAGACCCTACAAACCACCCCACTGGCCAGGCAGAGCCTGTCCTCAGGGAGGCAAAGCACAGCTATGAAAACTCTGCCTTTCCTGGAGGCCTCGGCTTCCCTTGGACAGGTGGGCCAGCTACACCAACATCCAATATGGATCCCACCCACTCCATCCTTCCCTTCTTATCAGCATCTACTTCACTAATTATGTTATCTATAATTTTAGAAGCAGCCTATTCTTTTCTCAAGCCAATTAAATTTTCCTCTCCTCTCCCTCTTCTTCTTTACACTATTTCCCTGTTTCTATTTATTTCTCCATCCCCTCAAGAAATTCAGGGTTACTACTTAAGTTTGGCTTCTGCTAAAGAAGTTTTAGATCAGAGCACTGAGCATCCAGTTAAAATGACAGTTCCTCTTCTCCTAAAGTGGAAAATTTATTGATACGGGAGTTGGTGGGAACCAGGACTACCCTTTCCAGAGAATTTTCCTATTTCCAAATTTGTTTTCATTCACTATCAGAACAAATTGGAAAGAAATTAACTTTTCTACTAACCAAAATCCTCAAGGAGAGAAAATAAAATAAAGCTTTTCAAATCTAGCAAAAATTGTCGAGAGAGCTGCAAATTTTTTTCAGACTTGGCCATCTTCAAGAAGGATATTCTCACTGATAACATTAACATGGAATTCAAACGAAAAAATAATAGTTTGGAAGTTCAAAATACGATTTTTAAATTGTTCCATCCAAATTGAAACTCTTTCTTCTTTTCCTAAGTGAAACCAAGAAAAATTGGCAGGTTCTTGTGGAAAGTTTCAGTTTCACTGAAATTACATTTCTAAGAGAAAAACTCTCTACATGTAATCAAGCATTTCTCAACTAGATTAGTACCGAAAGACTTTTGGAAAAAAATTAGGTGTGCTTTCAAGGGTGGGAGTTAATTCCTCACTCCAAACAAAATAGACTCCTCTACATCCTCCTAGAATCTTCTAAGATTAAGGAAAAAAGTAAGGAGAGAAAGAAGTAACACGTGCAGTGCCCATTTCCCTCCTCCTTCCATTCACGTTGTTGCTGTGTCAGGGCAGCCAGATTCTGCCTTTCACGGCAGAGCACTCCCAGTACCATTGTCACGCTGGGAATGGGAAGCCCCAGGATCTGTCACACTGTCCCAGGAACCTGGGTCTGACACCTCTGAGCAGTCCAGTGGGGAGGCTGCAGGACCGCATCCCCACAGCCCTGAGATAAAGCTCTTTGTCTGGCCAAGCACGAGAAATCAGCACTCCCAGAGCATCAAGCTGTGACCCCTGATGAGGAGAGGAACGAGCTGGACAGGAGCACTCACAGCTGCTGACACAGGCGTTCCTTCCCCAAGTACATCAACTCACCTATGAGTTTCTCCAGAGCTGGAGGGATGTGCTCAGCGCTGGCAGACTGTCAAAAGACAAGAGTGACACTGTCTTAGAGTGAGAGCATAAGCAGCCAAAGACTGTCCTTGGCAGTGGCACATTCTGGGTGCTCACGGGGAGCTGCAGAGTGCTAACAAATATACAGGGAGAGACCTCACAGCACTCAGGAACGCAAAGACATGCAGATACATCTGTCACCAACCCAGCAGTCCCTCACAGTAATAAGCAACCCCACTTACTCTGTCACGGCAGACACTGAAGTAAGCACGGTCCTGCCCCTTGGGGAGCTTTGCACCACCCGAGCATTTCAGACACAATTTCAAGTTTTTCCTTTTCCCTGTTTCCCCAGGGATGCGTGACCAGCCAGGCAAAGCTCACCTCTCTGAGTTCAGCCAGTTCCTTCTCCAGTTGAAAAATCCGAAACATGCTCAGCCCCACTCCAGTGAAGGCCAGCAGGAGCAGCAAGTAGATCACCAGGAAGTCAAAGCCCTTCCTTTCTCTATTTTTCCCTGGCTTTCTCCTTCGGTCGGGTACTGGAGGTGGGAAAGGAGCAACAGGGGGTGCCGAGGGGCAGGAAGTACTTGTTTCAGCACAGCCGTCCACCCAAAAAATCGGGGGGTAGACGTAGTTCAAGTTCTGCTGCATGGCCGGGAGCGGGATGGGCTGGACACGTTTGGTGTCGTCCTCCATATGGCAGCCAAAAACTGCCGGGGTTGTCCCAGGCTGAGCCCTGGGGGAGCTCCCAGCTCTGCCTTTGTACGCCTGCATCCCTGCATCCGGTGAGCACCCGGCCCAGATGCTGCGACTCTCTGAAAGCCTCAAGCACCGACAGCAAACCCCAAAGAGCTTCCGCCCTCGGCTGCAGGCTCGGGGCACGAACCTGCTCCTCCCCCGCGAGGCAGCGGGACCAGCCCGCGGGGCTCGGGAGCCCAGGGCGCTCCCGCAGCCACGGGCTGAGGGTACGAGCGCTGCGCTGCCAGTCCCGGGCTGAGTAACAGCTCATACCCACCACCAGCCACTCTTTCCAGCAGCCCACTCGGACAGAGGCGGCTGCTTTTCCACTGCGGTGTCCCAGACCACCAGCAGAGCAAAAGGAACGACAAAACCTCTGGCACCCCGCACCAGAGGGCAGAGACAGAGCTGATGGCTTCTGCCCTCGGCAGAAGGATGAGTAACAAATGCCAAGTGCAGCTGTGAGTGCTGGGGAGTCACTTCATTTCACACGGGACAAATTCCTTACCACTGTCCATTTTGCATCTGACTTTTTCCTTGGCTGCTTCACAGGGCATGAGTCACAGACACCATCCCACTGCGATAAAAAACAATCTAAGTCAGAAGAGGAGGACACAGCGAGTGCTGCAGCCTCAACAGAGCTGCCCCAGCATCACCAGCCCAAGCAGAGCTCGGTGGGCTGCCCTCACCTCCACTGATCCCCCAGGGCACCAGCCAGGCTGAAACAGGGGATTGCTGTGATGTGGGGCACAAGCAGGCTCTTCTGGCAGCTTCTGCTCTCCCTCTTACCTTTGCAAATACTATCTCCAGTCCCACAGTCCTCTTCTAACCTGAAAAAGCCTCACAGAGGGAAGGGTTTTTTTATCATCTCTCCAGGTCAGAGCTGAGCACCAGAGGAGGATCTAGCCTGGCTGGGTAACTTTTGATTAAAGCCAAGGGCAGACAGTGCCACTCATCTTAGTAAAATTTCTCTTGGCTTTCAAGAAAGCATCCAGAATCCAGGCCATGCTGCAACGACCAGCATTTAACTCATTACAAAATCCTAATGAAGAGAGACAGGGACAGTTCCATTCCTCATTTTCCATTCCTCATTGACTGCAGATTTGAGTGATCACAATGAGATTTTCACAGAGAGTTACAGGCGCACACAGGTGATTATAAACAGTTTGTTCTGGCATTTTTACAGAAGTGTGCGTTTGTAAAGTAGTATTAGAAAGCTGAAATGCTTGATACAAGAACAAACTGGAGACCTGTGGCTGAAGGAAGTGATCCCAATAAACAGGCTTTGATTTTGAGATCTGAGAAGAGCACACTTGAATAATGTATGTACACTTGTTTCTCCAAAGCAAGGGCTCAGCTCTGCCTCCAACCACACCAATACATCAGATGTGCCGCCAAAACCATGCCTGCACCACCAGACACCCCACTGCTTTTTGAAGATGTTCACCACAGCCCTTTGCTGCAGCAGCGACGTGCAGCGAAAGAGGTTTCAACAGCCCCGTCTGGCTCTTCCTTGCACTTCGAGGTTTCTGACTAAAATACACAAAGCGACATAAATCCATCTCCAGCAGTTCAAGCTGGGTTATGCCCACCCTCTCTCAGCACCCCAGAGCAGCATTCCCCAGACAGCACAAGGACAGGTCCCCATCCACTCCCATGACTGTTACAAGAGAGTGTCATGCAGTAGCTTTGCCTGGAGAGGATCCATTCCCAAGTTTTTCCTGACACCGTGTTTAACACCAGAATCTTATCCTGGTGGGATTGAGGGCACAGTAGCAGCCTCCCTTAAATGTCAGAAGGGTTTTTATTTCTCACCCACTCCTTCCTATTTTCACAAAGATGCTTTTTTAATTGGTGGGTGAGAGGGAGAGACAATGAAATCAGCTAAAGCCACTTCAGCTGCATCTTGGCTTTTGAATGCTCCAATCAAGAGCCTGCTAAATACCATGCCATGGCAAGCCAGTGATCAGATATTTTACCACCAAAGGACTGTGCTTAGTGCACAACATTCCTCCAGGAACCTCTCCCTTCCTCACACACTGCACTGTGCTGGTCCTGCTGTCACACCTCGTTTTCCCTGTCACCAGCTTCAGACATCACCAAGATGAGACACTGGAAGACAGTGGCTGTGTTTGCACAGCACGTCATGATCACAGAATCACAGAGCAGTTGGCGTTGATTTAGACGAGGTTAAGCCCTCCTAAAATATTGGACAAGGACATCCTGGCAGGACAGGAGGGCACAAGAAGGACAAAACCCATATCAGGTTTGTCTATCTGGCTCCCTATCTCCCCTTCTTCAACCAGTCTGCAAGATGCACACTCTGTTTCCAGCAGACTTATTATGTAATTTGAACAGAAAAAGGTATTTTCAAAGGGAAACGCCTTCCATAACTTTTATCAGAGAATTGTTCCCCTTTGCCAAAACCAACAAAAACATGACACAGACTGAAAAAGAGGATTTGCTCAGAGGAACACCCTCCATCCCCACTTCACCCCCAGAGGAGAGATGGGAGCTCTTAATAACAATACACACAATTATGTTAAAGTTTATTTTGACAGCAGAGAACCAGCCACAGCTACAAGTTTGTATCAGCAGATTTAGGGACAAAAGGATGACCTGCCTGAAATATCTCAAAGAAAGCAGGATTTGAACAATGATCCAGATCTAATACTTGACAGAAAATAAAACCAACTTAAGTGTGAGTCTCTGTGTAGGAGAGGTTCTCATCATGTTTTGGACAGTCTGTCTGAAAGCGATTACCAAACGTTTCCTATTACACTAATGACTAGTGGAAATGCCAAAAGCAACCCCTGAAAGCCCACAGGCCTGCATAAATTACACCCAAGATCTGAGGAAGTTGAGAGTCATTCGCATTCAGAAAAAATTATTCAAAACCATGAGGACAGGGAATTACATCAGAAGAAAACAAGTCTAGAAACAAAGACTGCAAATCAAACTCTTTAGGTAGAAAATACCATATGAGAAAGAAAACTATTCTGAAACTGAGAGGCTCCTCAGATGGACTTGAGCTCCCAGTAGGGAAAGCCCAGGGATTCCCAGGGGTTGGCCCATGAGAGCTCACATACAGCACCAGGCAGCTACAGACAGTCCTGGAACCCACTTCCAAGTCTATATGAGAGGATCTTCATCTACTGAAGCCTTGGAGAGGCATGGAAGACACTAGAACTCACCCAGCCTTTGTAGTTGGGGTGCTGACATCTTCGGGTTGTTTCCTTATTACATGCTTTTTTAACAGTTTGGTTTCCCAAATGTGAGTGATGCTTTTCATTTCCTCAGTGACTGCTCTCTTTGCTACAGCACATGTAAAGCCACGTCTTGGTGCCAACAGCTCATAGGGGGGACATTCAGATATTCACACTTGAGCAAGTTTCAAAATCCATTGCTAACAGCTCAGGACTGGTGTTGCAGTGCTTAATGTGTCCCTATTCCAGTGTGCAAGGTGACTTTATCCTCTCCTTCACCTGAATTCCAACAAGCCGACAGCAGCCCTGAATTCAGCAAAAGAGGTACAGGGTTCTGTCCCGAGGCGGGAAAGAATCCAAGGAGCCAAAGCAGCCGAGCAAAAGAGAAATAATTAAACTATTACTCTGTTGCTTTCATTTCAAGCAAGGAAATGAGGTATAGTGGTTATGAGGTAAGGGGATCTATTCTGAGAAACAGAAGCAGGTCAGTTCATGTCGTACAATAGTTTAGTCATGGGAGAAAACATAACGAGGTGCTGTGGCCGCTCAGAGGTTGTGAGGAAGACCAAGGAGGACGTGCAGATGCTGATTTCCCGTCTCCTCCCCACTGACAGCTGAGAACTGCACTCACAAGCTCTTCAGCAGGGGCCGTGCCCTGCTCCAGGTTCTCAGCACAGTGCCAGCCTTTGCCCTGGAAAACACCAGCTGGCTCTGCTGGCCAATGTGGCCTAATTGGTATTTGACAATTTTGTTTTCTTGGGAGCAGCCTCAGCCCATTAAAAACAAACGAACAAAAAACCCCAAACCAGCCAACCAACAACAACAAAAAAATAACGAGATCTACCAACAAAATCCCCCAAGATCTACCTTGAGATCTCCACTGAGTCCCCCAGGATCACACCTCAGCTCCAGGCCACTCAGCAAATTCAGGTCCTCCAGCATTGGTTTCGTGACAGAGCCCAGCACCAGGTGTGTCCATCTCACTACACAGCCCAGACATCAGCTGACTTCCCAAAACCCTGAGGGACCTTCAGCTCACTTTCCTGGGATTTAACTTTGAGCTACAGGTGGTTTCATGAGCAGTCTACACAACCTTGATGTTCCAGCAGTAACTGTGTCAAATTATGACTAATAGAAGATTCATCACCTGCTTTAAGTTGTTTATCTGGGAGAAAAGAAATATAACAGGGATTCTTGTTTGCTGCGAGTTTGTGCAGGGCCTGGCAGCTGGATGTAGGCTCTGACCACATCTAACAAAGCAAAAACAAGCCTCACGGTGGCAAACATTTCTTTTCCATCTTTAGATCCATGAAGTGCAGAACTAACTTCCTCTGCATTCCCTACCAAAAGCCATACTGCTGATGTGGGAGTTACTGGGAGACTCCACTGGAAAGCAGCACAGGTGAGACCACTTGCAGCTCCCAGGCCTCATGCCCAGTCTGAGAGCAGCAAGGCAGCAGAAAGCTCCTTGGAAACTTCTTTCAAAGTAACTATCCTTAAATTAAAGAAGGGATAAGTAAGAAAGATGCATTCCAGTACCCTTTCCTAAATTAAAGTATTTTATCTAGACAAGCTCCAGGGACACAGATGAGCTTTGAGCTCTCACAAACCACAGTGATGTCTCCCACAGCACCCAGTGCTGTTTGACACTTCGGGTTTCCAGATGAGCCACCTGGTGCCTGCTCACAGCAGTTTGTGGTCAGCAACCTACACTTTAATTGTTCCAAATCAAGTGGAACATGTTTGTACCCAAGTAAGCAAAGCATGCTAAGCTGTTCCATCTTGCTTCATCTCGTGCTGTAACCTGGCGAAAGCAGAAGCCACACAGAGACACCTCAGACTTGAGTTCTCTACTTACAACACCAAATCTCTGGTAGAGTTTGCCTATTTAAAAACTGTTGGTTTTCCACTCTGATACTTAATGTATATAACCTAAATGCCTTATTTTGGCAACCACAGCTGGTAATTCACTTACACAAGGCGTATGTTTGTGACCGTCCATCCCCCTGAGGAGACCTCTGCATTCTGTCAATATTTTTTGACCATGGGCTCCAGACCTGCCCAAGGTCTGAAGAACACCATCCTCACTCAGCACACACACACTGGCTTCTTGGTGTTTTACATCAGCAGCTGTCCAATCTCAGTATGTAATATCACAGGATGGACTTGCCCCCCTCCCCCCCCAATTCAAATATCCACACCACCAAAGGAATTAATTGAGATTTACAGACTGTCTTCGTTAGAAACTATTACTCCCTATATAAAGATTACAACCAATTTGAGAGACCGGATTCCACCAAAGAATCGAATTTTGAAAGCCAGATTGCGTGACATTAATACAACTGAAAGTA